AATAAAGTGGTTAGATATTCAAGAACCAGAATGGTTGATAATGCTCTGTACAATGGTAGAGAAGAAGGAAGAAAACGCAATGGGAGAACACCAACACTGTGACACAAAGTGATGTGCCTTCGGATTACGCTCACATAATCAACTATGGGACATCCTAAACTGTTACTCATTTTCTTTTTCATTTTTGATGTACGCGCATGATCTATCACATTCTCACGATGACGCCTACTACAATGTTTCTATATACGATGATTCCTACTGATATGCCGTTTGAGTTCAAGCGTCTTCAGTTTCCAGTACGTCTTGCCTTCGCGATGTCCATCAGTAAGGCTCAAGGACAATCACTTAAGGTTGCTGGTATTAATCTAGAGACTCCTTGCTTTTCCCATGGCCAACTTTACGTGGCGTGTTCAAGAGTCGGAACTGGAAAAAATTTATACATTTTTGCTTCTGATGCGAAAACCAGCAACATTGTATATCAAGCAGCTTTGCAATAAAAATTGTTTTTCATTGGACAGTTTCTCTTAAATAAAAGTAGTTTTATAAAGAAAACTGAAAAAAAAAGATATTTATGAAAATCTCAAAATATCAAATACTAAAAGTTGAGAAGGAACAGATCCAAGCGTATTGTCCGATATCCCCGATCGGTAACCCATAGAAGACCATAGCGACGTCGTCTTCTGATACGTCAAACATGTACTATCAAATTATCTAGACCGACATCGGGTACTTCCGCTAGTAGTATATAAAAAGAGAAAAGAATTGTATATATGTGTCTTATTTGCATGAAGCTTAATGAAAGTTTGCGTTCTTCTAGTTCAAGAATAGTACATCCGTGTTAAAAAAACGCACATGCTTGGATTCCTCATCGAATTCTGAACAAGTTTTATCTCTCAGAAGTATCCTGAAATTCCGTGGATCGGGCATAAAAAAAAAGTGTTTTTCTCCGTTCATAAAAAAACACTTGAGTGGTTCTGTTCTAAATAAACGCGGTATTTAATAAGAACAGAAATGAAGCACAGTGTATTCTACAGGCAAGAACTCTGTCATTTTGAATGATAAACTGAAAATTCTTTTTTTTATTCGATTACTGAGACTATCAGCTATACAATGGTGAAAACATTTTTCGAAAAAGTTTAAGAATAAGGACAGGATAATGAAATTACTACACTCGTCGAGTGTTTCTGTTCTAATTAAAAACAACCACTCTCTCTAGGCTATATCGCTCATATTTGAGAAAAACATCTGACGAAAAAGAAAAGAAGTATATCTTCTTTAATAGAATGTATAGAAGCAATAAGCAAATAAGCAGATATCTCTTTTCGCATATTGTTTCTTTTCTATGGTGATAACAATCCTAAACCTGAAAGATTGGGCTTGATATCTGTCGGATCTATATTGAAGTCAAATGAGCATAAATGATATGCATGTACCTTGAACAGAAACGATTTTGCTAGTTCGGGTAATATTATTTTAACTGCGTCCACAAACTCTCCAAATGAGTAAATATCGCGCGTTGTAATGTCTGTGGATAATAGATTACGGCGATCAATAGCTGCTACGACTGCATTCAAAAAATCCACGCCAAGTACAATAACTTTTTGATATATCAATAAAGAGGACGTTTGTAAACACCTGACTTTATTTTTCTTACTGACTATAAATGTTTTATTTGCTGACGTACCATGATATTTTAAATCTTTACAATAAGCAATAGCTCCGTATTCATTGGGTTCTTTTTCATACACAGTCGAAACTAATCGGTATATTGAATAATACTTGACACATACTAAATTTTGATCTAAATATGTATTGAAGTTAATGTGTTCCAAATACGATAAATTTTTATCAATATCACTGTTTTGAGTTTTAAAAACAAAAATGACCTTTGGGCAAATTAAAATGGCGTTATGAAATGCCCTTGGTGTCGTATCATCTTTACAATACGGACATTTTCTTTTGATATCACTAGACAGAAGGATTTATTCCATTAATTGTTTGGTGTGACGAACATCATTGGCTTGTATAGTTAACATTTTATGATCGTTTAGAAATTCAAACGAATTTCCACATGCTCCACAAGTTGAACAGAGCATAGTAGTTAATGTTACATTTGTGTTAATAATCGGAAAGACGAACCTTTCAATAAACGGATATAAATGAACGAATGAGTTTTTTCTACTTAATTGTTCAATATCAGTTGTTAATTTGTTTAATACATCTATAATCATTTTTTCTTTCATTGTTTTCTTATGTAATAAAGCTTGGGTCAACAGAAAATGTAGCGATTCATGTGGTTCAGTTAAAGCAATCGAATTCATATTAGTCATGTTAGCTTGAATCCGTTGTACATATGTTACAGCTTGAAATAAACTATTTTCTAACGAATGTTTTTTATTTTTATTTTCCCATATAATAATTTTTTTCGAGTCACAATAGAATTTAACTTCATCCAACGATATGGATAATGTTTTATCAGCAGCCGCCGTGTACTTCTGATAAAATCCATATTTCCTTTGCGACCAACGTTCTTCGATTCCGCGAACGGTTGGAAATTCCATTACGTGAGCAATCTGCGTACCCGCTTGTTTTTGTGTTGCAAGCGTCTCCGTACATAAATCTTTCAATGCTATATCCAAGCATTTATATATTCTACCATTCAGCTCGACATTTTTCACAACTGACATCCGCTTCTCTGATGTTGCCGTAGTTCTTTGTACTTTTTGAATACTTTCTAAATTACTAATACCGGTACGGTAACGATCTAAATCTCCTAACAAAATGCTGGACCAGATGTGGACGGTTGCTATATACAATTTGTTGAAGCGGACGAGGAAACTTTGCTTTTGAGTTAATTTCTTCAAATCGTTCTTTTCATTCAAACTGCTACTATCCGCTCCTGCTGTTACATATTGGTGATACACTTTTTGGAATATTTTATTCATGTCGGTTTTAATGTTTGAATCAAATTCATTTAGAGTTTGCTCTTCAGACATCCAAGTCCGGGTATTCTGCGTCGCTTTCTCTTGTGTATCATCGTCATCACCAATATGTTGAATGTCGTATGCGTCTTCCTCAATAGATATTAAATGATTTTGATCGTGTGTAATTGTTTGGATTTCTTTTTTATCCGTTTGTCCAACTTTTCTCGCTTCAACGTGAAGTTCTTGTTTTGCAGCGCGACACTACGTAGAATCATCGGGATAAAAAAAGAAAGTACAAAACAATTGATAGTTGTGTTTGAGTTGACCATAATTGTACGAGTTGAGAATAACAGAACAGTAAAATAACACTGCTTGTATATGTTCTTTATTCAACCTAGATTTCTTACATAATATCTTAAAATCTTTCATAATATGAGCTGTGCATGCGTGTGGAATTGTCTTGCGTAAATCATCGCTGGTATACGAGCCTAAAAGAAATACGATTACTGTTTTACCTATAATAAAGGTCTTCTTGTATCAATAAGTTTGTACGAGTATTAGATTGTCAAAGTAGTTTATCTAACAAATGTTTCTTTTATTTCTTACAGCTATGATGTTCTAATATTTGGTTAACCGATACTATATGCTAACAAGATACAGATCGCCAATGGTAAAGAAGAACTATCACCAAAAAACGAAAATATGCGGTATTGATTGTATCTCACACACCAGTGATGATTCTATATGCTCGCTGATTAAAATCCGTAAACGTTTCATTGTTAAACACTCGCAAAGCAGTCTGCACAAACACTTGGGCACGATCATTGATGATATATCTCGGAACTGGAAACGGTGTTTCATTGCTTTGTGCAAACTGTTTTTTGTATAATGCTTTAAAAAGCTTGATCCAATGTTTGACTGTCGTTAGATCATGATTTTCCGATAATAAAAAAGTGAGTGGAATGGATGTGGCACGTTTGACCGGATTCGCAGCAGTCATTTCATAATAAAGTACCTTCTTTCGTGTTGCTTTGCACTGAATTATTCCTCCTGTGGCGTCCCATGTAATCTCCGCATCCTCTTCATTAACATATCGTTTCCAGAACGAAAGAGCTACCGAATTTATGCATATAATATAGCATGGCTCGTATGAAATAAACTGAATTATTCCCGAAACTGGTGTATTTGGCATGATTGTTCGTTCGTATTCTTTTTTGAGTGTTGAGAGATTGTTAAAACAGTCTGCTTTCAATTTACCAGCGATCGACGACACAATCTTGTGATATATATGTACAGTTTTTCCAACACCATCTAGATTCCCAGCTTTTAATGCTTCTGGTTTTATTTTCAATAATCGTTCGTGAAACACTAAAGTAGGGTTGGCTCCTTTTGAAAAGTCAGTTCGCAGAATTTCTTGTTCCGGTTCGAGAATCCTTCGTGCGTGAAGCCGTTGTTGCGCGTGAATAATCGAACCATTACACGTCACGGATCTCTGTCGTTTCGCCAAAAGACAATTCGCCGTGGCGAAGTGTCATGTGCCGTTTCGCCAGTTGGCGAAAGCGAACAAATTCTTGGCGAAACGGCACTGACATTTCGCCATGGCGAATCGTCTTGCGGCGAAACGGTTTTTGAACATCTTTTGTGTACGCAAAATTTTGGGGAATCTCTGACGTTTCGCCAGAGCACGATTCGCCGAAAGACAATTTCCTGGAAACCTCCCTCGAAATATATTTTCAAACAAACTAACAAATAGCTACGAACACAGAGTCTTGAAAATAGAAATGCTAGAAATGCGTACTAATTCCAACACAAATAAACATGAGAACGATGTCACAACAAAAGACATAGGGGAATAAAATAAATGTAATTTTTCAAATAGCGTTGCGTTTTATCTAATTCAACTTAGTAAAAAAACACCTGTTCTTAAAAATGAAGAAAAAAGAAAAAACATATTTACACTTTCAAAATACATCTTCACATAGTCTCTACCTCCTTCCTTCTTCTTCATCTTCACAAATACTTCCAACTACTATCACTATTTTCAACGGCACATGACATTTCGCCAGTTGGCGAAACGACACATAACATTTCGCCAGTTGGCGAAACGATACATGACATTTCGCCATGGCGAATTGTCTTTTGGCGAAACGGTTTTTTACCCACGTCACCCGCATTGTACCATTTGATCGTACAATCACCTCATATTCAAAAGGACACCCCGCTAACTTCATTGAACAATGCCCGGTACATCTTAATAAGATTTTCGGTGTTTTAGCCCTCGAAAATCGATTTCCGATGCATACTAAAGTACAATATGGGTTAACGCAATCTTTGACATATCCCACTATCATCTCTGATACGGTAAAATCCCGTTTTTTGGGTAAATTGATTGGAGCTGATGGCTGTTCATTATCTGACTCAGTTTGATGATGAATTACTGAAGACTGTGAATGTGTCGCATTTGATGACTGTTTTAGTTGACGTTTCTTGAGCTCGCTAAAACCATCGATAAGTAGATGAATGGGGTCAGTTACTTGTTGAACACTTTTCTTGAAAGTAGGAGGAACATCGACTCCCAGTAATTCTGAAACAGCGGCCACAGTTAACTGCGTAGACTTCTTTCGTTCTGTTGAATAATTATGTTCAATATCCGTATTCATTGTAGCAGATTTATTTCTATTCTTAATTATTCGAATTGTTGGCCTTTCATCAGCATCTGATTCAGTATCTGAGTCTGATTCATATTCTAAATGAGATTATGTGCTTATACAATCAGAGAAAAGATAGCTCATCCCATACTTCTATCCTGTATCGGCATGCTAGCAGTGGTTTGCTGATTTTCTATTATGTCTTTATCATGCTGGTGTTGTTTGTGCACGTCTTGGATTTTTCTCGGCTTGGTTTCGCCGAGTAACCATTCATCTTGAATATATAAACGGAAACAATGAACAGTAATTGAAAAAATCAAAGAGATTGATCTTCAGATTTCAAAGTTATAATAATAGACGAATATTTTCTGTAATCAGTATAAACGATACCTTCACTGCTCGCTTCATCAGGTGACTCTTGTTGTATTGTTTTTCTGGGTGGAACATAGCAAGTTAATTCACAAACGTCATCCGTGCTGATCGCCATATTTCTCGTACTAAGATTTTGACGTTGAGCTTCATTAGCAAGATTATAAAAAAAAATGAAAGTCAACTAGTGTGAACAATAAACAAATATCGTTGCCAACTAAATGCAATCATTTCGGAAAATATTTTGTTTATAAACGGCGTGTGGAGTTCCGTTTTCTCATTTTTATTGCTTTAACATCACTCTGAAAATAAAGTTTCGTTTCGCTATTTTACTTTTCTCAAACTTACCGTCGAACGTTGATATGTTTTCTTTATCAATTTTTATTGCGCCGGACACACACTTCCGATCTAACTGTAATTTTGTACTAGCTGAAAAGTAATGTGTTTTCTATAGCTCATATTACAAAAGCAAACGATATATTACCTTACATTTGCTGTAACTTCAAATGTTTTGGCGATATATTGAAATCAGTAGTCATTACATTTAAAATGGGAATAGCTTTAAGATAGTTCATCAAACGCATTTCTGTTCATGACGTACTCTTTCGTTTTCCGAAAGAATCTTGTCTAAATAGCCAATTACTGTCTCTCCCGTTTTGCTCATTGATTTCAGAGAATGTAGTCGTTATACTCATATCACTGTGTGTTATATCGTTTCCTTAAAGTATAGAAATTATTTAATTAACACTCTAAAGCCTATGTCATTTTTTCCTGCAAATACAATGGCGTCTGAGAACATTCGGTTATCTTCTGACAAGTCGAGAGCCAGAAGAGCGCTCATCGACAAGTGAGTTTTCCGCCTTCTTGATGCAGAAGTATTAAGATACACAATGCAAATGTTAAACATACTACCCAAGAACGAAGATCTTGTCGGATCATTAGTTATATTACTAAACAGTTGCCTTGGAATATCAGTCTGCTTCGTTGATAATTCATTGTCTAACCATATTTTGAATCCACCATATGTTATATTTTTTTGGAAATAACTGATATATGTTAAAAAATAATTCAATTCAGGGTCTATGTTCAATTCACCCAAAACACAACAAGGGATCGACCGTGGAAAGTTTCTAAGTCCATTATACGACATACTTTTGCAATTAAGATATTTTGATACTAAATTTCTTGGTTCCTTTTCTGCATCCTTACAAAAACGTATTCGAAGATTTTCATTGTTCCTGTTTCTCTCATTATACTGCAATAAAGGACATACATATTCGCTTTGATTAGCAGTACGACTTGGCAATAATGCACAAAAATGGTTTTTATGATGACACAATACAATCGGATCTTTTGTACAAGCATGCATTTCAACCGTCAATGGTAAGTAAACTCCACCAATCTTGTTTTCTAAATCATTGACCAGATTTCCTGGAAAATCTGCGTAGTATTTTGATTGGACAACGATTGGTCGATGTAACATGTTTGCTAATGCAAAAATATGTATGGATTCACAATGAGTCCAATGATTCTTGATGCCGCGTGTATTTCGCATTATGGAGATCACATCATTCCATTCCTCGAAAATAGAAGAATTCTAGTCAATTCATTAAAGTCTCATTAAGCAGAAGAGAACAGTCTCAAAGAGTAATGCTGATATACAGTGTGAGATTGCAATAGAAATTAATGTTCTAACACTAGTACAAAAGCAGTGTACAAAACTGAAAATACTTCATACTTCTTCCAGCTCTTTATCATCTATAGTGTAGTTGTTTATCGCAGCTTCTTGTAAACGTTCGAATACTCAATAATCTCGAATTTCCTTGTTATTTTTCATGAAAACCGACAACTGTTTTCGCAAGTCCAAATTAAGATCTTGCATTCCAATCATACTTATCAGAGTTGCATGCATCAAACAATTTCCGTCAGCTAAAAGTTAGGAAAACAAACGAGGCATGAAAACTCCTTATGAAACTGTCACTCTTCATGTTATTCTTACAGCAAGTATCGATAAGAAATAACTGAACCGTATTTGGCATCCAGTTAATGACTGTTGTGTCTATTTCATGGTAAAACTCCATATCAAACACAGACTTTTTAACGGAGGTTTGATTTGTTTCCATAAAAAAAATCTGGTAAAGTTGTTGTTCTTAACGCGCAATCGTGGAAATTATTGTGAAATTCATCTTCCAGATGTTTCAACATTTTGTGATGTTCAGCAGCACCTTCAGTGGCACTCTCTTTTTGAAATGCCAGTAAATTTAGCCGTTCTACTACTCGGAAATACTTCGCTGCTCTAGTTTCTAAAAGCGTAGATGTTTATAAACCCTTCATGTAAGTAGTTCAGGTGAACGCAATACGATGCTTCAGAAATATTAAAAATATACTCATCCAAAACGGCACACTGTCGGCAGTTCATCACACTTAAAAGCCGGCTCAATTTGGACTTTGAAACAAGCCGACACACAAAATCATATTTACCACTATTATCATTCATTGTTGCTGAATCACATCTTCTCGTACTTTGAGCATCTTCTGTTGCTCGTTGTTTCATCTGCTCCACATGAACTTCGTTCAGAGGTAATTGCTCGTTGATGTCAGGAAATATACACTTTTGTGCATCACCCATTTCAGTTACTCCTACAAAATTAGTTTTTGATATAGTCATATCCCTAGAAACTAAAGTTCAACTCTACTTAGTCTGTTTTTATCTGGCTGCAAACTAGCATCCCTATCCATTTTTTTCAATTCTAGATAATCAAAAACATTGAGCATCGGATTAGTTGGATTTTTATTTACACGATTATCTGCTTTCTGACCCTCCACACAACCTTGATACATGGCTCACATATCATCGAAATTACCTGAAATTTTTCAGAAACATACAGACATTTGTAAATATAGTTTCATTCTTTTCATATATACCTTCAGTTGTTATGGTTGCTGATCCTGCAGATCCATCCTTCAATGAATATCTCACACATACCGTGTCATACTCGAAGCCACAAATGTTCTGAATTTGTGGCACGATAGCAAATTGATGCAAGTCATTCTCAATGATCCAAAATTTCTATAAATGAAAAAATTAAAATGTTTTCTCTGCCTGCGGACATTGCCAAACTGTCGATTTTGCACAATCCTACTTTGAAAGAGTAGATAATTAACATAGTATCAAAAATCTAAACATGCTCTTTTTGCTTGTAAATCAGCAAGAGCTCCTACAAATTTAAAAACATATTTGATATACAATTTTGCTAACTATTGACTAAATGTCTTTACTTCTCTTTTCTTCTTCGTTCATGTTCTCCAACTCAGCTAAAAACTCCATCTTCCTTCTATCGATTATACGACTTCCGGCTTGAACACTAGTCATACCATATGCAGATAAATTTTCCTCATAATCTGTTACAGAAACGCAGCAGCATTATTGCACAATTGTCATCTGAATATAGAATATGCTTACTTGCATACTCGTTATCATCCAAAGGCGGAGGCAAATCGATGTCCATAGTTTCTTGAAATGCAACATCATTCACATTTGTGTCAACAGACTTAAAAAAAGATAAGATTTTTGTGCAAGAAACTTTATCAAGTCACTGATGACTACACTAAAATAATACATCGAACGTACCAACGGTACAATTGCTGGAGATTGGGCAGGCGCAAGCAGTTTTTCCGGAGACTGTAATTGTGTTTCGATGCGAGATAAAGATATTGTAACTTCTGAGAGAGGTGTCGATGGTGCGGCACTAGTAACTGCTGTCGTAAGCAGAAACGCTGATGTTGGATAGTCTACTAGTTCAGATGCGGTTTTCCCTAAATCGGAGCGGTTAACCGTCGACCCAGTTACATCTGTTGTCGCGATTATTGCTGGTATTTGTGTGCGAGGTAAAGGTACTGGAGCTTTAAAGCCAGGTGTCGACGGAACGATACCTGGAGGTGTTGGATCCGCCAGAATTAATGGCTTACGCCTACTTGTTTCAGAGATAACTAATCTGGGCCCTATTTTGTTGCCATCTGGATAAGAAATGTCTACGACAGAAATTTTTGTAATGCATCGTTAAATATAAGCAAAAATGTCTAGTTTATACAAACCAACCCTGAATAACTTTGAAGCCTTTATGGACAACGTCGCCATTTGTACTTGTAACGACCTTTCTTAGTTTCGAATAATGGCTATTGGCTTCAGGATCGAGTACAAGCAATAAACATTCGCCTTTCTCCGTGCGTATACGTTCCTTCACCTTTTCTTGATGCTCATTCATTACGTTTACATAATTAACTTCAATTATACGATCATATTGCCTCAAACCAGCTACTTCTGCCGGTGTATTGGGGAAAACATCGCTTATGATATGCTCACTAATATTTTTGTTAAATCTTTGCAGAAAAAAGCCATAGCCCTGACAGGTTGTAGTAGGCCGCAGATGACACAAACGAGGACGATGATCTGGTGTTTGTTGGCTACCCTGCTTTCTTTCATATGGCCTATACATAATATAGCAGCTAATTATATAATTAAAGCAGAGACGCTCTGCTGAACTGACCACTGTAAGGTAGTTAGGTAAACCGCTCAAAATTCGAAGTTACAGCACTATTTTATTTTTGGCTTAATCATGCATCATTCGACAGAGAATTTCACGCTGATCAAGAATATCTGGTATTTAGCCTTCCCGGTGCACATTATCTATTAATAAAATATCATGTTTGGAATCATGATAAAGAACTGAGTCGACTGCTGTGTATCTCTATCCTATACGAGTACTTTAATTTTTTTTCCGAATTTTCACCTTGAAAAATAAAAACGTTCGAGATTTTAACTAAAAAATAAAAATAAACAAAAAATTTCAAATTACACATCATTCTACTCAGTTTTTGATCCTGATTCCGAACATGACGTTTTTACCACATAGAAGTTGTGAAAATTGAGAATTATGAGTAGAATTCAGACGTGTTCGGCTCAGATTTAGAAAAAATGAATTTTCTCAGCAATGAAAAGGGATGTCAGTAAAAACGATTTATTTTTTTATTCTACGTTTCAAGACGAATCAAAAGGCATATGAAACTTGCTTAATCTCTTAACCAAAAAACTGCGATAGGTTTGCAAGATGAGGGGGAGCCCATTTCGCGCCCCAAAATAATTTTTGGCCTAGAACCTTGAACTATAGCTTTCTGTATGCAGTTTTCAACGCTGGATAATAAAAGCATAGTTTCACGGCTTCGAAATGAGATGGAACCAAGTTATTCAGTTTTTAAAAAAAGTTAGTGGTTTTTCAAGAAAAAGAAATCTTTAAAGTTTTTTGAATTTGTTTCACTGATAATGTGCACTGGGAAGGCTAAAAAACAGATATTCTTGATCAGCGTGACATTTTCTCTCGAATGATGTATGATTAAGTCAAAAATAAAATAGCACTGTAACTTTCAATTTGGAACGCTTATATTAATTTGAAAACTAGATACCATTTGCAATTTTTATGATATCTCATAACAGTTTAACTTCGATCAGATAAAACTAATAAAAAAGATATTGTTGGTCCTTACCAAAGATGTTTAAATGTGTTCCTTACCGAGAAGCACTAACTGGTAAGGGAATATGAATGAGTTGAGTTTGAGGAATTGGCCGATGTAGCCCTAAAAATAGTCATTTCCATTCAACTTCTTAGTCAAGAGAAGACAGTGATATAACTACCTAATAAGAAACCAACGCCTTGGCTGACTACACTTTGCGTACCGATCACTTTCGATAAATGCTGACTGTCTCGGTCTACCGCTTCATTTTGCTGTGAAGATCTCACAATATTTGTCGACCATTGTGGAAGTAATTGACCCAGACATAGTTGTGAAGCAGGGGGACAATTGTTGTCGATATCGGGCGATTAGTAATTTGATTTTCGGATGTTGTATCTGGATATTATCGGATGAAAACAAGTGTTTTTAGCCAGAGTTTTTCACAGAACAAAATGTTATGTAACTCACTAGATTTGTCTTTCTGTATTTGTTCGGAGTACATAATCTGACTTATTTTACGAAAACGCTATAATAACGTAGGAAAAAACTGGTATTAATATAATTATTCGAACCTTCCTAAAAAGTGAACAGTACTGTGAACAAATAATAGCTGTTCAATAAAATTGTTATAACGGTGCTTTACGTATTTCACTCAAAAATGAAAAAAAATAAATACTCTATCTTTCTCACAAAGAATGATTAACTATGTATCATACCGTAAGAGATGCATAATATTACAAAGCAAAACTATAGACTAGACGTCCTTATCTGAACTGACCATTGATAATAACTAGAAAAGTCATATCTTTTATTTTCTATAGACAAAAATTTGTTGAACACTTCACAATTCGAAAACAAATGAGTGCTCTGCAAAATTAAAACACACATTGTTTTGTATATCACATATAACTACGATTATTATTACTAAAGTTATCTCATCTTCACAATAAGGTATGTGTCACGAGAAAGCAGAACAGAACAAAATATTTCTTCAAAATCTACAGATTTCTAACTTAACCTTTGACTTGCTAAATCGAATAGGACTTGTACAGAAGTTGGAGTAAATTTAGCATTAATTAATGCTCAAGTTAATTTCAATAAGCAGTAACCACACTAAAAATATCACAACTTCTCATCCATTATGTTCATGTCCATGTTAATAGCCACAGATGATTCAGCATATATTCTTTACATCATCTGCAAAGTATAGACATCCACTATCATTAGAGTTTTACAGAAATCTGTAATACATCTTTCATATGTTATTAAATGAATACTTGCTTGTGTCCTAATCAATTCACATATTTTTAGTCCTTATTATGTATTATTTTCTACTCGACCTATGGAGAAGTAATACAAATGATGATTATCAAGATGATCATTATGATCGTTTAAGTCGAAAGACATCATTTTCAATGTTAATGGTCTGCCTTATTATTCTTACAACAGGACAGTATGTTGGACATTCCATTCTATGTACAGCAGCCGATCATCCAGTAACAATGATTGAACACATAAATGCCTACTGTTAGGCGCATCAGACATATTTCAAACCGTTAACAGAATCGCTGTTAAACGACAATCTACCCTCAAAAACGTAAGTGTTTCTATACTCGTTTACACAACGAAATTTTCCATTTATACTCTTCTTTCAGTCCAAATTATCCATATATGCCATTAGCTATATTGACAATGATATTGTGCTTCAGTTTTCCAAGCTTTTTCTGGCGTGTCTTATTGGCTACAAGTGGATTTAACATTAATTTTTTACATACACGACTTATAACTTTGGAACAAACGGTTGGCGAAATTCGAGAGCAACATATTCATGAGTTAGCAAAACAATTCTTATCTTCACTACTGTACAGTCGTGATTACAATTATGAAATTTACAAAAAGGTAAAAGTTAATTGTTCATGGAACTGTGGTTGTTTACTTACATTTGGATATATATGTGTCAAGCTTATGTACATCGTAAATATATTCGCACAGTATTATCTTCTTGGTCACATTCTAATTACCGAATTCTTTGTTTACGGAACGCGATTTATTCAAGACATTATTAAAGGTGAAAGCACTGAATTAGACAAGCGTTTTCCGATGACAATATTATGTGATTTTAAATTTAGAAAATCAGGTGGGTTAAACTATAAAATAAAATCTAATAACAAAAATTTTGATAATTCTTTTCAAAAATCAAACAAGAGAGTTAAGAAGACACACTTATTTCGTAGCACTTTATTTCCTCACGAGAAGGTCATATAAAACGCTCGCAACTCTAAGTTGAAGAGTACTCGCATCTAATATCGATTAATAATCTGCTCACTATCCTGCTACTTGGGAAGACTACATTAGTTTCTTCACTTACCATCTTTCTAGGAGATGACATTGACAAAAGTATCGTACAATGTGTAGTTCCTCTGAACAAACTAAACAGTTTTATATTCTTATTTCTTTGGTTTTGGCTTTTATATGTTGGTATAATGTCTATTATTGGGCTTGTACATATTACATACAAACTAATACCCTATCGGAGATTACGTTATGTTTGCCAACATTTAAAAATACAAGGCCATCCGACAGGTTCTGTGAAAGAAAATATAGATGATTTTGTCTATGAGCAGTGTGGTGTCGATGGTTTATTAATATGTTATCTGAACGAATACCACTTTGGCAATGTTACCGTGGGAGAAATACTTCTATCGATGTTCAAATCGATGTACAAACACGAATTGACAGCCATAGTAATAGTTGAAGAAACTAGTACGAAACTCGATTACAGACGAATATATATAAGTGAAAACGTTTACATTCTTTCAACTTGAATGGTCTTTTTATTGTTACATTTTAAATATATTCGAGAAAAGAAAGAAATTATAACCGCTGTATTCTCTCTTCATGACACCCATCAGTTGTTTTTCTGATAAAGACGTCACTATACATAAGAAAAATAAACTATCATTAATCATGTCAAAACCTATGATGATTTATTGAAAGAGAAATTACAACAGACAAGAGAGGAATAAACCATCTTCAGTCACATTTCGAAAAAGGATATGTATTTACAGTACAGAGATGAATTTTATGAAAAATTCAAGATTTCTGAAAACTAGCCCGACACAGTACATTTTTCAACTACCTTGTTGCAAGCCCATAGCCAGGGGGATGCCTGTTGTGCCCAGGCACGCCCCATAAGTAAAAATTGCTATTTAACTGCTAGGAATCAGAACCGGTATAACCAAAAAAAACAAAATGCAAGAAAACCGGTATATCAGTTCACATCTATAGTGCACTCCCGTTAGCAAAATTCTGGCTACTGACCTGCCTTGTTGTCTCAATTTTCCCAAATCATCTTACACTAATTTCGATGTTATCAGGTGCAAATTAATTTTGAAAGAAATGCAGGTTCAAACGATACATAACGAATCAACAGAGGTGAAAGTTTTTGCAATGTATTATCTTTGCGAATAACCTCCTACATCAGGATAACGGGAGAAAGATAACGATGATTAGCTAGTTTGACTCATGAATGTCTACGTGAAGATTTAAGACGTAGAAATATACAAATAATACTGTCTGATCAAACAAGCAAATAAAGACAATGAATGATCGCATCATATCTTTCCATATTTTGAGCCACCAAAAATAAATCTATTTAAAACAAACAGAGAATTTTTTAGAAACAATTTTATTTAGAATAAAAGCAATTACAGTAAACTTAGAACAGACGTAGAATTAAAACATCTATATGTTTTTGTCTATTATTCTGAAACTTATATACATATTTTTATTTCGTAGATTATACTTAATACAACTAATTCTAGAAAGTCGAATAATATAGTTAGTTTTCAAGCAATAAAAGAGAAAATTAAATTCGCTTCTTGCAGTTCCTGTTTACCCATCTCAGATACAGTAAGAAATATCCTTGACTTGTCACTGTGGTTAATTCCACCCTCAACGAAGGATCAATATATCTGAACCCAAACAC